ATTAATTCATGTAATGGAATATGATTTTAAGATGTGTTACATGAATTTATGCTGTGGAATATTTGTTTAATGATGCAAAGATGTATTGCATTCATTTTTTTCATTTGTTTAACTATATAAAGCTGTATTACTGTGCCTGCCTAAAACACCTGATTAATCAACTATAGAGCTTAATAGCCAATAGCTGTACTAGAGAGAGAAATATGTGGGGCTGGTGGGCAGAGGAACTCTAAAGCACAGGCTGAGAGGACACAGAGCGGAACAAGAGGTGGGTAAGCACCCACCCCACTAGGCACTCACTCTCTAGGCCCTTGGCTCCATACAAAACCCTGGGCCCTCCCCTACCTGCATCAGCTTCTCTAGTCAGCCAGCTGGTAAGATTCCTACAGGTAGGATGCTCCAAATCCACCACCCTCTCTATTGCAGCCTGTAAGCTACAAGTCCCAATCCACCCCCGAAACCATCATGTCTCCTGTGACCTAAGAGGAACTTGCAAGCACAGGCTGCTACTGCACACAGCAGACAAAGAGGTAAGTGAACACCCACCCAGCTTGATACCCCACTCTAAGTACAGTAAGGTTCTGGTTATCCAGCCAGTCAGAAGACAAGCTTCCAGCAGTTTGGCTGTTCCAAAATTCTCAGAGTAGGAGGCTTCAAGCTAGAAGTCCTACTCTGGCCCCAAAACCTCTATCCCACATGGCTTCAGAGGAACTCTGAAGCATAGCCTGTTAGTGCACAGAGAATATCAAGAGAGAAGACCAAGACAGTGGACCAAGACAGAAGGCCAAAAGAGTCCTCCGTCACTCCATAAGACACAAACAGTGTCAGTACAGAGCACGTAAAAACAGCTCCCAAAGACACAGACAGTAACTGCAATGATTGTACCAAGAGGCAAAGACTCTGTTAGCAAAAATTTGAGGAAGAGATGGGTAGGTACCAATGGAAGAGCTTATTCAACAACCTAAAAAGCAACATAGTATCACCAGAACCCAATAGAAATACTACAGGAAGACTTGACCAGCCTAACCCAGAGGAGGCTGAGAGAAATAATTTTAAACATAACTTTAAGAGGATGATGGACAGATTTAAAGAGGAAATAAAAAATTAATTTAAGGAAATGGAGGAAAAGGCAAACAAAAAAAATTGGAAGAAATCAACAAATATCTTAAAGAAAACCAAGAAAAAAGAATCAAACATGTGAAACAAAGAGTGGAAACACTTAAGACTTGAAAACTGAAATAAAGGCAATAAAGAAAACACAAATAAGGGGAATTCTATAAATGGAAAATCCATTTAAACAAATGGGAACAACATACATAACATACATAACTAACAAAATAGAAGAGGTGAAAGGAAGAATATCAGTAGTTGAAGGTACTAAAGAACAAATAGATTCATTGGTCAAAGAGAATTTTCAATTCAACAAATTTTTAATGCAAAAGATCCAAGAAATCAGGGACATCATGAAAATTCAAACCTAAGAATAACAGGGATAGAAGAAGGAAAAGATCTCCAGCTCAAAGGCACAGAATCCATATTCAGCATAATTGTTGAAGAAAACTTTCCCAACCTAGAGAAGTATATCACTATGAAAGTAGAAGAAGCTTACAGAACACCAAATAGATGGGAACAAAAACAAGTCCCCTCACCATATAATAATCAAAATGCAGGGCTGGAGAGATGGCTCAGCAGTTAAGAGCACTGCCTGCTCTTCCAAAGGTCATGAGTTCAATTCCCAGCAACCACATGGTGGCTCACAACCATCTGTATCGAGGTCTGGTGCCCTCTTCTGGCCTGCAGGCATACATGTAGAAAGAATATTGTATACATAATAAATAAATAAATATTTTAAAAAATAAATAATCAAAATGCAGAGCATACAGAAGAAAGAGTGAATACTGAGACCTGCAAAAGAAAAAGAGCAAGTAATATTAAAGCAAACCTATCAGAGTTACACCTGAATTCTTAAGTGAAACCATGAAAGCTAGAAGGTCGTGGACAAATTTGCTGTAGACATGAAGAGACCATGGATGGAACACAGACAATTAGCCCCAGTAAATCTTTAAATGACCATCGATGGAGAAAACATAATATTCCATATAAACCCAGATTTAAACAATAATTATTCACAAATCTAGCATAAAAAAGGAAATAAGAAAAACTCCAACTTGAGAAAGCTAATTGTACCCCCAAAAAAGCAACAGATAACTCCCTATCAGCAAACCCCAAAGAAAGGAAACACAAGCATTACCACCAAAAATAATAGTGATTATCAATCACTGGTTATTAATATCTCCAAATATTATTGGACTCAATTCAACTATAAAAAGACACACAGGCTAAGAGAATGGATATAAAAGCAGAATATATCCTTCTGCTGTATATAAGAAACACACTTCAACCTCAAGGACAGACATTGCCTCAGAGTAAATGGTTGGGAAAAGATTTTCAATTAAATGAACCTAAGAAACAAGCAGGTATAGCTATCCTAATATCTAACAAAATAGAGCCTTCAAACTAAAATCAATCAGAAGAGATGGGGAAGTACACTTCATAGTCGTCACAGGAAAAAATCCATGAAGACTAAATCTCAATCCTGAACATCTATGCCCGAAATACAAGAGGACATACATATGTAAAAGAAACAGTGCTAAAGCTTAAATTGCAGTCAAATTCTACACATAAATAGTAGGAGATGTTAAAGGCCACTTTCCGCAGTGAAAAGGTCAACCACACAGAAACTTTTTTTTGTTTTTGGTTTTTTTTTTTTTTTTTGAGACAGGGTTTCTCTGTAGCTTTGGAACCTGTCCTGGAATTAGCTCTTGTAGACCAGGCTGGCCTCAAACTCCCAGTGATCCGCCTGCCTCTGCCTCCCGTGTGCTGAGATTAAAGGAGTGCGCCACCACTTCCAGCTTAACCACACAGAAACTTAACAGAGAAATAAGATAACTAATAGATGTCAGGACTCAATTGGACTTAACAGACATCTAGAGAACATTCCTCCCAAACACAAAAGAATATGAATTCTTCTCAGCACCTCATGGACCTTCTCTAAAATTGACCCCATACATGGTGATAAAGCAAACCTCAACAGACACAAACAATTGTAATAAGCACCTGTGTCTTATCAGATCACCATGTTTTAAAGTTAGAATTCAACAACACTAATCACAGAAATCTACAAACCCTTGGAAAGTGAATAGTGCTCAGCTGAATCAACAATGGGTCAGAGAAGAATGAAGGAAAGAAATTAAAGACTTTCTAGAATACAATGAAAATGAAGGCACCACAAACCCAGACCTATGGGACTCTATGAAAGCAGTGCTGTGAAGAAAGTTCATAGCACTAAGCGCCTGCATAAAGAAAGTGGGGAAATCTCACACTAGTGGGTCAACAGCACAAATGAAAGCTCCAGAACAAAAGAAGCAGACTCACCCTGGATGAGTAGATGACAGGAAATAATCAAATTTGCGGGTGAAGTCGATAAAATAGAAACAAGGAAAAGACTATAAAGAATCCATGTAAAAAAAAAACTGATTCTATGAAAAAGAAAATCAAGAAGATAGACAAACCCTTATCCAACTTAGTCAAAAGGCAGAGAGAACATCCAAATTAACAAAATCAAAAATGAAAAGGTGGGTGGAGCAACAGATACTGAGAAAATCCAGAGAATCATTTCATCATACCTCAAATCCTGTATTCCACAAAATTGGAAAATGTAAAGTGAATGGACAATTTTCTGAATAGGTACCACATACCAACATTAAATCAATACACAGTGAACAATTTAAATACAGCTGTAACCTTCAAGTTAATAGAAGTAGACATCAAATGCCTTCTTCCAACCCCACCTCTAAAAAAAATCCCTGGACTTGATGGTTTCAGTAAAGAATTCTACCAGAACTTCAAAGAAGAGGAAACAGCTGTACTCCTCAAATTGTTACACAAATTAAAAACAGAATGAACATTTCCATACAAACATTTCCATTTTATGATGTTACAGTTACCCTGATACTAATCCCACACAAAATATCAAAAAAAGAATTACATATCAGTCTCCCTCATGATCATCAATGCAAAATTATTCAGTGAAATACTGACAAACTGAATCTAGGAATACACCAAAAAAATTATTCACCATGATGAAATTGGCTTCATCCTAGAGATGCAGAATAGTTTAACATATGAAAGTCTGTCAATGTAATCCACCATATAAATAAATTGGAAGAAAAAATATAATCATCTCATTAAATGCTGAGAAGCATTTGACAAAGTTCAACACCCCTTCATGATAAAGGTCTTGGAGAGATCAGGGATACAAGAAAGGTATCTTAACATAATGAAAGGAATGGACAGAAAGCCTACAGCAAACGTTAAAAAAATGGGGACAAACTCAAAATGAGCCCACTAAGATAAGGAACAATACAAGACTGTCCTCTCTCACCATACCTAGTAAACTTAGTCCTTGAAGCTCTAGCTAGAGCAAAGAGAAAACAAAAGAAGATCATGGGAAATCAAACTGGAAAGGAAGAAATCAAGCTTTTGCTAGTCACAGATGATATATTAGTATACATAAGTGACGCCATGCACTCTATCAGGGAATTGATTATACCTGAGAGAGATTTTACTTAACGATTTTGAAATGGGAAAAACCTCCATTAATCTGTAGAATTTGAGATGATATGACCATCTTTAACTGCTTGGTGGCAGTGCACACTTTTAACACCATGACAATTATCTTTTTTTGTTACCTTAAAATTCTCTTAGCTGTTAATATTCTGAACATCTTTTTCCCTCTGGGACAGGAAATCACTACACCCACCTAGATAAGCACAGTGCACAGTACAAGCCAGCTAGCCACACTGGGTCCTGGAGGAAAAAGGGAAAGTTCCTGTGGAGTGCAGGATTGTGACATTGTCTGCTTTTGTAGCCTAGGACAAGTGCTATTGAAATGCTTACCTTGGCCTATGTAGAAACGATCTTTGAATGGGGTGGGAGAAATGGTCAGGAATCACTCTGCAGAGTCTTTAAGCACGCTACAGCCCTGTGGACAGTGTCCTTGTCACTCAGACTGCACGAGCCAATCAGACCCTCCAGGTGACCTGCCAGTCATAGGCAGTGCAGGGTTCTTCCAGGCAGCCACGTTCAGACTTGGCTTTGCCGAGGAGCTGTTCCCAGTGGTTTCATGTGCTGCAGTGAAATTGCTGCTGCTGGAAGAAGTTGATGACCTGAGAGCTTTGGCGAGCTGGGAAACAATAACATGGTGAGCGGGGGGGGGGGGGGGGGGGGGGGGGGGGGGGGGGGGGGGGGGGGGTTGGAATGCTGTCTCCAGATGGGGAGGACCAGAGGGTGAGGTGCAGGAGATGGCATGGTGCATCCTCCTGGGATCAGTGTGGGAACCTGCTGCCATATTCCCTGTGTTGTAAAGTCCCATGTGGTCTTTGTTAATTCCTAGATTTAAGGAACAGGCCTCTGAATAACTTTGTTCTGTGGGTTTAATCCGCTTAGAGAATTGGGAGCAGGGTGCTGTGTGTACAAACATCTTTCTTGTCAACTTCAATATGCCATACTCAGAGAGGCCTAGTTTCTCCAGTATCTTCTTGAAATTGAGCACTTTGCATTTAACCTTTACATACAATCTCCATTTGTGTTTAACTTGTGGACGGTATCAAGGCATCTCACCTGTTGGGTAGCACTGCACTTCTAAGCTGCAACATAGAAGAGTTGAGTTGCTGATATAAAGGATTTTCCAATGCCTTGGAAATAGTTCAGTCTCACAAAGTAGAATTAGCTGAGGGAGGACTGCCTCTAAATCACCCAAAAGTTAAATGTATTTTAATCAGGGCTACTAGAGATTAGGATGCTAGGGTACACATTGTTCAATCGGATTGTCCAGATATTTGGCTCCAAAAAATTACAAAGAAGCCACCACTGACTTAAAACCAGACACAAGGCACATCCCCATATCAAAAAACAACCTCTAACAAGCTTTTAAAGGAGGCATGACAGGTTCCTAAGCTATTTTAAAGCCTGGTGTGATGTAAAGTTCCAGTTTTCTATTTGAGAAAAGCACAGTTCTTCCAGATGGGCAATATGACACCAGGTGACATATAAATGAAATGCAAAACATTGTTGTGTGGAGGAGTAACCTGAACAATCAAGGGTTTTCTTTTATGTCCCCTTGAGGAAGGAGGAACAATCCTGGCAGACCTAGTAATAGTCTGGGGCCTTAGCCTTGTGAGTTTCCCTAAGTATCTGATCTACTGATAATAAAACACAGCTCCTTTTCTAAAACCAGGAATATGCTTAGGGGAGCTGGTAATGTTCTGGTGCCAAAGCCTTTGTGGAGGGGTGGCTTCAGATTCTAAGAACCTCACTTGGGAGGCAGAGACAAGGCAGATCTCTGTGAGTTTGAGGCCAGCCTGGTCTACAAGAGCTAGTTTCAGGACAGGAACCGAAAGCTACAGAGAAACCCTGTCTCGAAAAATCCAAAAAAAAAAAAAAAAAAAGATTCTAAGAACCTAACTCTTCCCACCATATGGAGCTATAGTTATCAGTCCCATGGCCACTCTGCTCGTAGTAAAGTTCTTGAGATACCCTGTGTTCCCATTGTATAGATTTGTTTGAGTAGCCTCCTCCTAAATTCATGTGATAATTTGTACTTATAATTCTCTAATTTCTTTCATTTCTCCCTTGGAAGTATACTGAAAGACCCCAGTGGTGGGCAGTCTTTCAGGCTAAGGAGACCCTCCCAAGGAACAGCGAGATCACTCTTCGGATGCAAACAGCAAGAGGCTTTATTCAGTACACAGGTACCTGGGGCGACTTAGTCTCTCGAAAGACAAAGCGCGCCTGCAGACTGGGGGAAGGTCTTTTTATAGGAAAGAGGGCAGCAGAAGCAGATTACAGAAGCAAATGCATCGTTAGTGGTCAGTTGGAATGGGGCAAGGGGCACAGGTGGTTTTTCCTCTCCCAGCACAGATGTATGGGAACAGATATCCTGTTAATTGATGTCCTGCCCGAATCTATGGATATAAATATTCTGTTTTGCAGCCAGGGACCCTGACCTTACTCTGCACTTACAGTCGTTCATCAAAAGCTTTGTGAAATGACGTTACAGCAGCCAAGCTGGGATCTTTCATAGGGGGAGTTGTCTCTTCTGTGAATTACTGATATTCTAAGTTGGGCACATGTGCTGACTATAGGCATCCTGTTTCCTTAAGCAAACGGGAGGTTCTCATTAGAGCAGGCCAGCTGCGGGTTCCTTATCGCTTGGGGCCAGATGGCTGACCGGCTGACCGCAGATATCTTGCCTGGCTTCTCCGCCCTTGTTCTCAAGTCGAACTTCCCTGCTCTAATGTTACTTGCGTTGCTCCAAAGTTTAAGCCTGGCATTGCTGCTGCTTAGCTGTTTGTCTATACTGTGGGGGTCTTTCAATACAAGATGCTATTCTCCATTTTAAAATTCTTTTGAGACAAGGTTTCTCTGTAGGAGTGTCCAGACTATTCTGGAACTCACTGGGTAGAAGAGGCTATCCTTGAACTCACAGAGATTACTTGGCCCAGCAAGGGTGTGTGCCACCAATGCCCAGAAAAATGCAATTTTTCCTAGGAAGCTTTCTAGGCATCTGCAAGACCTCCCCACCCTAGCTTTTTATCTTTTTTACAATTTGGTTTTCCTATCCTTCTCATCCCTGTGACCTTCACCTCAGGACCCTGTCACTGAAGGAATCACCTGCTGATTATGGTTACCAGTTTAATGAAGAAATTACCTTGATAATATCTTTGCTCTGTAACTCTCCTATCTGCCTAAATGTCTAGCCTGGCAAGTTGCCTGTTTCTATTTCAATTGTTCAAAGTGTAACCCAGAGCCTGAACCTAAAGGACATTTAAGGTGAACTGCAAATGTGGAATCTGTCTAGCTGGCACCTCTTTGAGCGTTAGCTAGAGATTGATGTCTACCATCATTAAAGAGGTTTTTCTTTATTAATCTCCTAGTGTGTAAAGTTATTTCTCAATGGAAAGGGATATTAGTTCTAGAACAGCTGCATTTCCATCCTGTTAGAAAATAGTTTCTGAGAGAAGTTCTCTTTTTTTTTATTTATTATGTATACAATATTCTGTCTGTGTGTATGTCTGTAGGCCAGAAGAGGGCACCAGACCTCATTCCAGATGGTTGTGAGCCACCATGTGGTTTCCGGGAATTGAACTCAGGACCTTTGGAAGAGCAGGCAATGCTCTTAACCACTGAGCCATCTCTCCAGCCCCCGAGAGAAGTTCTCTTATGTTGACTCAGGTGCCCTAGGTCTGCTGCTGTCCAGGGCAATGACCTTGCTGTCCTGTACATTAGACTTTCAAAACCAAAAGCTATGGAGAAACCCTGTCTTGAAAAATCCAAAAAAGAAAAAAAAACACAAAATTCCTAAAAAAAAAAAAAAACCTCACAGTTTTAAAATTATGCATTTGTGTCATGTAGTTGACTGTGCATTGCAGTTGCAGGGAAAGGATTTGCATATGGTGCATATGGAGCATTCCTTATGTCTTCAGACCACAATAGGATGAATAGTTTATTGTGTACACTGCAGGGGAAACAGTGGAGGCAATCAACTATTAGAGCCACCATTATGAAGATGTTCCTGGCTGGGCAGAGGTGGCACAGGCCTTTAATCCCAGCACTAGGGAGGCAAAGGCTGGCTGTAAATTCAAGGCCAGCCTGGTCTCCAGGAGCTAGTTCCAGGAAAGGCAATTAGGCAACAATTCTATGCAGACATGGTTGATCTTGCTTGACACAGTTTTGTCTGCTTAGAGATTTGAGAAACAGGCCATTAACTAACTTTATGTGTCAGGTTACAGATCTCAGTAGCCAACATATGTATATAGAAACCATTAATCTATCTCTTATTAATGACATTCCCTCTCCTATACAAAGGCCAACTCTGTTTCAAAGTCAATATAGAAAGTTTTATTTAATCTCAAGAGTGCAATATTTTTATCATTTTAAAATCTCTTATTGGTATTTTTTTTTTGGTTTTTCGAGACAGGGTTTCTCTGTGGCTTTGGAGCCTGTCCTGGAACTAGCTCTGTAGACCAGGCTGGTCTTGAACTCACAGAGATCTGCCTGCCTCTGCCTCCCGAGTGCTGGGATTAAAGGCATGCGCCACCATCGCCCGGCTCTTATTGGTATTATTTTCAGATGTTTTCATTAAGTGTATTGCTGCACTTGTCTCTATTTCTGTTCTCCAATGTTTCAAAGTTATTAATAGTTGCATTTTATGTCTCTCAAGTGATGTTAATTATTGATTTCTGTGGAGAACAATGTCTCCTCTAGTTTAGGCTTGCCTCATACTACATAATTGAGAATCATTTTGAACACCTAATCTTTCCTCTGCTCCCCAGTGCTGGGAAAACAGTCCTGCAACTTCTTATAGGCTTGGCCTTGACTTGTCAATGAAGAAGAAATGTAGAGTAGTTACTGAGTGTCTGCTAATCTTTCTAGTCTTTATGGGGACTTAGAAGAAAAGGAACCTGTGCAAGAGGTGAGGTCATTGACCAATTTTGAAGCTGCTGGAGACACAGGGCACAAAGGGAGAAGTTGTACTGAGGGTGAAAGCTTTCTTCCGTCAACAGTAGTTGAGATTAGCTATGTGGAATCAGGTAGTCAATTGTAGATATTTCATGAATGTTCAGATTGACAATTGTTTTCAGTCCACAGACCAAGGCAATCAAGAATCTGGGAAAGAAACTGACATTATCTTTAAACCACATTGCTATATTTACAGTAGCTCAGCTAAAATACAAAATCTGGGTAAAAGGTTGTGGCCCTGCTTAACAGGACTGTTATATTTCTGCATTAAGATGTTCATCTTTTGAGAAAATGTATGAGAAATCTTTAATGTGCTCTAATACAAATCCCTAGTCTCTGGAGCACATGGCCATAAAGTCTATTTCAAGTTTTCAAAATAATTTATAGATGAAATCCACATTATACTTACATTTTCCTTGTTGCCTTCAAACCCAAATATGCCTGGATTGTTTTCTAATTCATGGTATGTTTTTCTTTAGCAACAGTTACAAAGTAACCACAGTTACACAGTAACAGGAGTTACTTTATGAATGTGGCCTGTGTTAGTCTGCAGGATTTCCCACTTCTGATGCAATGGGATGGATGCACTGTAAAGTGAGTGTGCAATGGAATGTGCAACAAAGGATCCTGTACTTTGGATGTGGAACAGGATGTGCTCTAGGGTAGTGGAATAATGTATACTAAACACAATCTTTTTAAACAGGGGCCCTGTCTGCTGGGCTGGGAGGGCAGAACTGGATGGATTGTACTGTCTGAGTCATTTGGTCTCTGATCCTCCAGTAGAGAAGCTGCTAATATTGTGAGTCCCAGCTGGGTGGCCCTAGCCAATGAGGGATTCTGGGAAGCCTTAGCAATCAGGAGTTCTAGTGGGAGAACAGGATTAATTTGGCTTATATTGTCATATTGTCATTCACTACTTAAGGATGTCAGGAAAGAACTTAAAGAGGGCAGGATTCTTAATAGATTTTTGTATGTTGAACCATTCTTGTATCTCTGAGATGAAGCTGACTTCATCATGGTAGATGATTTTTTGGTGTGTTTTTGGATTTCCTTTCCTAGTATTTTATTGAGTATTTTTTGAATGTATGTTCATCAGTGAGATGGGTCTATAATTCTCTCTTGGTTGAATCTTTGCATAGTTTTGGTATAGGGGTAACTGTAGCACCATAAAAGGGGTCTGGCAATGTTCCTTCTGTTTCTATTATGTGGAACCCTTTGAGGAGTATTGCTATTGGGTCTTAGTTCTGATGGAATTCTGCACTGACACTCTCTGGCCTTGGACTTTTTTTGGTTGGAATGACTTCTCTTTCCTTGCAGGTTATAGGTTGATCTAAATTATTCACCTGGTCTTGATCTAATAATGGTATGTGATACCTATTCAGAAAATTGTTGATTTCTTTTTTTCTCAAAATCATTGATTTAGTATAATACAAACAAGGAAATCTTAACATTGAAATACAAAGATTACAATATTGACTAAAGAATTTTTTCTTTACTACACAAAACATGACCCAGCATAAAAAACAAACCATTTTCCTTTTCCCATTAAAAGAAATGATATTGTTAGGAGCCAATTTCCTCCTAAAATCATTACAGGAACCATCACCCTGGGGAGTCTGCAGAGACCCCCACACCCTTAATTGTGTTAGGAATCCTTCTATTGACAGAGCCTACCCCACACCCAAATTGGCTGTTTATGGAGAGCTATCTGTTAGCGGAACCCACCCCACATTCCAAACTATCTAGGGAGCTAGGTGTGTCAACTCGTGACTTCTTGGCCTACAGTGACCTGACCTAAGACAACCTCCTGCCTACGTGACCAACTCGGACCATGTGACCAACATGAACCACGCGGCAAGAGCCCAGGCCCCTGTGCCCATCCCCCAACTCTTTACCCTATAAAAGTTGTACCCCGTCTCTAATAAATGGAGGCTTTGACAAGAACTCTCGCTTAGCCTCCTTCCACTTTCCTAGCTCATATCTTCCAGGTAGTGCCTCTCCGTGACCCTGGAATAACTGACTGCCGGGTGGGTTACTAACCCTAGATTGAGTAACCCACCCAAAGGCAATCGACATGATATAATTAGTGTATTAAAATAATTTTGAATATAGCCCAACTATATTTACCTATTATCCAGTCAGAAAGTTTTATTATCATTTAGTGTATTGCTTGTATCTCCACTAACAAAATATTTAACCCCTAAAGCAGCAGTCATTTATAGCAACTCTGGTACCAACATCAAAGGGGAAAACTGGTTTAAAAAATTTCACAAAAGCCATTCTTGACTGTAAAACAACATATCACAGAAAGAGTATGAATACAAGTTTGTAATTGTATATATACATACTCCAAGAAGTTTGTCAGTACTGAAATTCTTTTTATTGCTGTATTAGCAATGGAATTTTTGGAATATATTTTCAATGCCACATAGAAATAGATTCAAGAAACAAATTAAATTGAAGTCCTAGATAAAATGTTTCATTTAAAATATTTTCTACATCAAATTTCATGTTTATGTATGAAAAGTTATATAACATTATATGAAAAAAAATGTCATGAAGTATTTTTCTACACTATACTAAATGTATTTCCCAAGAGGAAAAAGTTAAAAATATCTAAAATATTTTAGATTAAGATTATAAGACCATCATAGATCTTATGAACATGCATCTGTTTACAGAATTAACTGTATACAAAATGTATTTTTCTTTTTTTTTAATTTTCTATGGTTTATTTAACTTTATTTTATGTGCATTGGTGTAAGGGTGATCAGATCGCTGGAACTGGATTTTCAGACAGTTGTGGACTGCCATGTGGGTGCTGGGAATTGAACCTGGGTCCTCGGGAAGAGCAGTCAGTGCTCTTAACTGCTGAGCCATCTCTCCAGCCCCCACAAAATGTATTTTTCATTAGAGATCATAAAGAAATGAGTTGGGGACAACCACCCTTTACACCACATTATCAGCTCACTTTAACCACAAGTGTGTCCTTGGTATTTGAGTATATGAAACATTCACTCTTCATGAAATCATCCAAAGATTTACTTAGAAGATGAAGGTGCAGAAATATGAAATATGTTACTTATTTTTTTTTCTTTCTTTCCAACAATATCCCAAGCATGGCATAGCAGCCTGAAATTATAAAATACTTAACTCTGCTTTAGTTATCTATACAGGCTGCTTGAATGTGAATTAAGTTCAAAAATTAGCACATCAAATAACAAAACCAGCCATAAAGCAGGCTGAAAGCATTAAACATTTCATATATAAGTTTTAAATCATTTAATTTCTATAGAACAATTTTATTCACAATATAATGTGACAGAAATCACCACAGGAATGATATACTCATTGCAATCAGGGTGCATGCAGCAGCAGCTTTGCATTTTTATAACTATTATTTGTTTATAAAAATTAAGCCTCTCCAGTCATGCTTACCACATTTTAAGTTTGCAAGGTATGGGAATACAACATAGTTCAAAGAGAAAATGTCTCATCAATTTGAATGTAGCTTATCTGTATGAAACATGAAATATATTACTAAACCCTGAAATGTGCATGTCTAGATTTGCTTTTGTCCAATTTCAGGCCATTTGCAATCGTGTTCTGTTTATATAATATCAAGAGGACCTATTAGCAATTGTGGGTGAATGAGCTGCGGTTGCAACTGTGGTGGCAATGAAGTGTTATCATTGACTCCACCAAGTCCTGGATTTGTGGGTGAAGGAAGAGCCAAAATGTTCTTAGTTTCTACAATTCCTCCATTGGAAAAGAAAAACTGACACTGTTGAAGGAATGTTTCAATGACAGATTGATGGATTATAGTGGTAGACAGGAACTCCCGATTTTCAAAATCAGGTCTCATAAAAGTTGGTCAAAAACAGATGGATAAGTTGCCTGCTGTCATTGGGTTGATTTTACTTTGCTGACTAACCTTGTTTAAATGTGTTTAACCTTTCCAGTTTTGTGGAGAACAGCTTTTTTATAGTATGTCTTTATTTTCTCCTTGACACAGGGGTAGTTTAATAGAGCACTGTTCAATTTCCATGGGTTTTTAGGCTTTTTGTGGTTAGTGTTGTTGTTAAATTGTAAATTGCATATCATCATAGAACCTTCATCTGGTGATGGATGGAGATAGAGACAGAGACCCACACTGGAGCACTGGACTGAGCTCCCAAAGTCCCAATGAGGAGCAGAAGGAGGGAGAACATGAGCAAAGAAGTCGGGACCACGAGGGATGCACCCACCCACTGAGACAGTGGAGCTGATCTATTGAGAGCTCACCAAGACCGGCTGGACTGTGACTGAAAAAGCATGGGATAAAACTGGACTCTCTGAACATGGCGAACAATGAGGGCTGATGAGACGCAAAGGACAATGGCACGGGGGTTTGATCCTACGTAATGTGATGGCTTTGTGGGAGCCCAGCCAGTTTGGATGTTCACCTTCCTAGATATGGACGGAGGTGGGAGGACCTAGGACTTACCACAGGGCAGGGTACCCTGACTGCTCTTTGGGCTGGAGAGGGAGGGGGAAAGGAGTGGGGGGAGGGGGAGAAGGGTGGGAGGAGGGGGCGTAGGGGGGGAGGAGGGGGAGGGAAATGGGAGGCTGGGAGGAGGTGGAAACTTGTTTTTTTTCTCCTTTTCTCAATAAAAAAAAGGAGATAAATTACAGTTAGTGCAAAAATAACTAAATTTATATAATTATATATGTATATATATTATTGTGTGATGGATAATTTCAATTGTCAACTTGATGGGATTAGTGCTCAAGTTATTAATATGACACATTATTTGTTGTGCTCATGAGAACTGTTTTTCCTAAAGAGAAAAGACTTAATGGAGAGTAACCACGTTGTGAGGGGAGCAATCCACATAGTCAAGAGAGAAGACGCAGCATTGAAGAAAGTGCTTGTGGGAACAGCCAAGGCTAGTGGAACACAGAAGAGAATATCACAGGCCCAGGTGCCACATCCGGGCATTTGGTGTTGAGTCGGCTGGGATTCTGCCTGACTGTGGCCCAGTATTTCTTTGATCTTCTATTCCTTCCTTCTGGGGATGGTTACACTGTG